CGCCAAAGAGACAGAGAGGGCCCGCCAACGCCCCGCGCAAGACCCTGGGTGCCAAGCGCACTAATCACAATAGCGCGGCACCGCAACTAGCTGCAGCTGCAGAGGGGTAGCGCGAATACTAGAAACAGTATTGCGGAAACCAGAATCCGCCCCTCCGGGGGCACTGCGGGGCGGGGCTGCGGAAGGCCAACTCCCCGGGCGCACGGGGTCACCACTGCGGCGCGCCGGATCCGGCACCGTACCAACCGTTCCCACCGCAGCACTTCCGCTCCCCGGAGGGGGGCCTTCCACGGGTTACATCAACTGGGCGCCGTCAAAAACAGCGGGTTCCCCCAGATTGGAGCCCGAGGGGTTCGCAAGGCCGCGAGCTTGGTGCCAGCTGCTTGCGGGAAAAACAGGCATACGGTGAGGGGGCAACACCCCTCCGCTTACTCATGCTACGGCCAGCCCGCCATGGCTTCCACGGGCATCCCCCCTCCCCAGCTTTCCGCCCCGCCACCGGGTGGGGCTGGGAAGGGGGCTCGCGCGGCAGGGGGACAACGCTGCTCCCGCCGGGACTCCTCCGGGTCAGCCGCGCGCGTGGTATTCTTCCGGGGGCTCCTCCCGGAACTTGACCCGCCTCCCTTCCTTCTCGGGTGGGGTCTGCCCCAGGCGGTTCGAACTTCCCAAGGTGAGGTTGTAGTTCTGGGCGGACATCGCCTCCGAGAGGCCTTTCTGGGGTTCGTGCGCCTCCCAGAGGTACGCGTGGAAGGCGCCCGACCTCCACCTCCCGAACCGCTTGAGCCGCTCCAGGTCTGGCATGGCGTGGTACATAGCCGTGGCGCCTCCGATCCTCAGGGAGTGGCCCCCGATGTGCGAGGGATGTATCCCCACCGCCTTCGCCGCCTGGCCCAAGAGGTCGGTGATGTCTTTCCGCCGGATGGGGTTCCCATCCCCGTCTCGGAAGAGAGGGAGGTCTCCCTCCGAGGTCCACCGCTGGGGCGCCAACCTCTCCAGCTCGGCGAGGGCTCCGACAGGGCAAAGGGGGTTGCCCGTGGCGTAGTGGTTGCGGCAGCATCCGAAATTGCACTGGTCGGTCTTGCCCCCCTTGATGTAGATAACCACCTCGTCCGCGGACGCGAAGGTGGGGCAGACCGCGCCCCCCCTCCTCGGGGTGACATCCCTCCCGAAGAGGACCCGCTCCGCCGCCCAATCCCTACCCCCGGAGGTGTCGGCGAGGTACTCGGAGGCGCGCAACATAAAGAAGAAGGCGGTGGTGAGGGCGGCCCAGGCGGCCGCGTCTTCTACCCTCCCGGTGTCCAACTTCCCCCTTAGCCAGCGCATCATCTCAATGGTGACAGGGTACTTCCGGTTCTGCTTGGCGCCCATCCTGTCCCCCCAGCGCCAGCGCGAGCCTGGGGGCCAGCTCCAGAGGGTCCGGGTATCCCGCCGCGATATGATAGTGGCGGACCGCCATCAGCTTTCCCCGGATCGCCCCCTCCGAGCGATGCTGGACATGGGCCAGGTGGACTATCCAGTCCAGGAGCACGTCCTCATCCTGCCGCCGGCCCTCCCTCCCCAGCCCCGTGAGGAGCGGGCTCCCGCCCCGGGCTTTGAGGAAAAGGCACCGCTGCCTCCACGCCACGGCGTAGGAGGTGCGCGTCCCCTTTGCGAGGTTCCCGAAGATGAGGCTGTCCCGTAGGCGCTCCCTCTCGTCCGCCAGGTGGCCCCCCCCAATCTGAGGTTGCCCCCCCTCCGCCGTCAGCAGAGGGCACTGGGGCTCCGCCTGGGTCTGGGGTTTCCGGCCGCGAGGCGCCGCCGTGAGCGCCCCCATGACCTCCTCCTCCTCCTCCTCCTCCTCCTGGGCGAGGCGCCTCAGGCGCGGGCTCCTTGCACCCCTCTCGGCCCACGTCGCCCCCGTCGGGGGGGCGGTGCTGGGGGGGGCGAAGGAGCCCCCAACTCCCCGTGTCCGGGGCCCCAGCAAAGGGGGAGCGGGCCCCGCCAAGTGGGGGGCGCCCAGCAGGCCTGCACCTCCGCTCTGCGGGGCCCCTCCGGGTGGTCCTCCAGCCCGGGCCCCGCGGGCCTCTCGGAGCCACCGCTCGTAAGCAGTCCGGGGGTCCTCGGGGTTAGCCTTCCAGGCGCTGAACCACGTCGCGTTGGCCGCGGCCATGAAATCCTCATCAAGGTCTCGGCGCACCCCTGCCCGGGCTCCCTTCGCGAGGAGGCCCTCCCTCGCGCTGGCCGCTGCCCGCAGCGCTTGGTGCGCGGAGACGGGCGGCATGGAGCGGGCGGCACCCATGAGGAGCACCTCCTCAGGTACCCCCGCACGGGTTCCCTCCCGCCAATCGTGAAGGAGGCCCCCGGAAATCTGCCAGGCCTCCTTGGGATCGAAGCGCCTCACCCGAGGGGTGCCATCCCCCCGCGTGTCTTCCAATAGCACGGGGTAGTGCCCGGAGACTTCGTCAGGGTGCCAGAGTGGGTAGTCAGGCCCGCTGCTCATCGGGCTAAGGATGGCCCTGACGTCTCCCTCCGACTCCCGGGTGCTCTTCCAGGTCCCGGCCGCCTGGAGGGCGGTGGGGCGCCCTCCCTCCCCGCGGTCGGCCCTCTCAGGGACCTTGAAGTGGCGCCAGTGGGCCCTCCCCTCCTCCTCCTGCATGTAGAGCTCCGGAGGGACCGCCTCGGGCGTCAACAGGGCGCTACTGAGGTTCAGTGGGACAAATTTAATCGCTCGCCCCGCCGCAGGAGTGCGAGTGCGGCGCTCCCCCAGTTCCCCCCGTCTCTCCAGGCAAGGAGGAGGCGGCGCGACCTCGCGCACCGGTCCCCAAGGAGGTGGGTGTGCACTACGCTTTCCGCAGTGTCGTACCCACCCTCCTGCAGGACCTCGCGGGCTTCTCCCAGATCCTGGTCCAGGGGTCCGTCCAGCACGACGAAGGTGGCGGCGTGGGAGAGCGCGTGCCGCACGAAGTAGAGGGCCTCTCGGCCGGTGGGGTCGCTGCCACTGGAGCAGGTGACCCAAGTCTCCTTCACCGCGGTCCTGGCCCGCCCGGCCCGGTCGGCCACGAGTCGATTCTGGTGGACCTCCCACCAGGGGTGGCTCACAGCTGAACCGGGATTGGGGGTGGTGGCTCCGATCCGTGCCCCCATCTCCCCGGCCACCCGGCAGTAGGGGGAGAGGGTCGCACGCCACTCGAAGACCTGCACCCCGGCCAAGGGCCCGGCGGGCGGTCCCCGCGCCCGGCGGCGCTCCACCAGCTGGTAGGCCAGCCGGCGTCCCTCCTCCGAGTCTCCAGGGAGGACCAAAGGGCGGCCTTTCTCCGCCCCCGCGAGCACTTCCCTCCAGGGCCCCTTGAGGTCGATCTCCTCCAAGCCGAGGCGGTTCATCTCCTCCTGGACGTATACGCTCCTCGTCTCCCGGGAGATGAGGTCCATGCTGCTATTGTGCTTGGTCCAAATTCCCGCCGTAACCGTGTGGAACCCGTGGCGGGTCTCCAGGAGTTGGAGGAGGCGCAGTCCGTAGCGGGCAAGGCGGTTCTTCGCCGTCCGCTTGTTGAGCCAGATCTCCGTGCTGGTGTTGTCCGTGACGTAGAGGACCAGGCGCCCCTCCCATCTCGGGGCCTGGGCCACCGCGAGCACCAGAAAGGTAAACAGCTCGCAGATGGCGATGATGTCGGCTCCCTCCCCAAAAACCGCGTGGAACGGCTCCATGACCTCCTTGACATCCATGACCCCGTACACCCCGTTTGACCAGTCGGCGGCCCCCACCCGGGTCTCGGTGGCGCCCCCTCCGGTCCAGACCAGCTCCTCCATTCCGCCGGGGAGGGCGAGCCGCTCCTGGGGTTGGAGGACCCCCTTCAAGCCTGCATTGAAGTGGGTGGTCCAGGCCTGGGGCGCTCCCGCGTATAAGCGGAAAACTTCCAGCGCCTCCCACCACTCATCCCACGCGTCCTTCTCCCTCCCCTCGCTGCTCTCCTTGATCTTGACCCAAACCCCAGCCGGGTCCGCAGTGCGGAGGAGCCGGTCTACCGCCCCCAACTCGGGTCGGAGGGGGGGGCAGGTGATGGCCGCGAAGTTGAGGGTGCCGCGGAGGACCTGGACATCCTTCAGGGCTACCTGGGTGTTCCCCGTGTCGTAGGCCGGGTCACTCAGCAGGATCCGGATCTTGTTGACCTTCTCCTCGGGAAGCCGCAGGGTCTCCTCCTCCGTGTTCACGTGGACCCCCCAGCAGATCTGGTCCACGCGGAACTCTCCCTCCTCGCCCTTCTTCTCCGCGTTGATCGCAAGAGGGCCGAATACTCTACGGGCCCCCTCCTCGGCCAGCCTAGCGGCCATCCAGGGGCGCCGTCCCAGGAGGGGCTCGATGAGGACGTCGTCGTCCATGAGGAGGTGCGAGTGGTGGGGCACGTCGTCGTGCCATCCTGGGTCGGCCGGCCGGTGGCGGTCATGGTACTGCTTCAGGGCCGCCCCGAAGGCCATGTACTCCCCCGGGCCCCCGATCCACCCGAAGGTGAGGACGAGGTAGATGGCCACCAGGTTGCCCCCCATCCCGACCACCTTGCCAGGGAGCTCCGTGGCGAACATGCCGGCATCCTCCGCCCGTAACCAGATCCAGCGGAAGGCCTCCGCTATGTCCCGCTTGGCGATCAGGATTTTTACCCCCGGGTGCCGCTCCTTCCACCAGGTGATCTCTCTCGCCAGTCCCCGATGGCGGGGCTGCCAGGCTGGGGGGTGGAGGTACTTGTGCCCCGTCTCGTTCATCGCCCTCTGGTCGTGGATAAACCTTCCTTCCTCCGAGATCGCGCGGTCGGGGTTCATCTTCGGCGCCCTTCCCCAGGGGGGCGAGAGGGCCCCGCTTAGGTAAGGTTCCGAGTCCTTTCCGCAGAGGAGGACCCTCCCCCTCTTGGCGTCCTTCCGCAACTTCTCCATCGCCTCCTCCATGTGCCCCTGCACGCTCATGTGCGGTTTGGAGGGGGCCCGAACCTGGGCCAGCGGTTGGCGGGCGGGAGCCCCGCCCGGCCCTTCACCATCTGGTGGAGGTAATCCCTGAGGTCGGGGTCGAGCAGCTCGCATAGCTCATCCTTGAAGACCCCGTCCAGGTTGTTCCCCCACCGGCTCGTCCAGGCCTCTCGGTAGCAGTCGACTGCTTCCTTCCAGCCTCCCGCCGCCTGGACTAGGCCATCACCGAGTCGGGCCCCCTCCTTCACAACTTCGGGGGAGTGCTTGGGGTTGTCCGCACAATGAGTGCACAGCTCCTGCGCCCAGTCCTGAGCGGTTCGGCCCGCTCTCCCCGGCGCCTGGTTTCCCGATTCCGTCCCGCTTTCCAGGCTGCCAGCTGCCCGTTGGGGAGGCATCCAGGGCCCCTCTCCCTCCCCATCTTGGCTCCCTCCCGCATCGTCCCCTTCCTCTCCTGAGGGCCTGAGTTTACCATCTCCCGTGGCTTCCCCCCCCTCGAGGGCGTGGTGGGTGGGTGTTTCGTGGCCGTCCAAATGGCCAGCGCCACGGCGCGGGCGAAGCGCGGGGGGTATTGGGCGGCTTCCCTTGTCCGCTTGATGCCTGTCCCTGGGGCGTTATCCCTGAGCTCCACGCGCTGGTGCATCGGGGAGAGACCGGGGCAGGGTCTCCGGAGCTTCGTGAAGAAGGGGGCCAGGTTCGCGGAGACGACCAGCCAGTACCCCTTGCGATAGAACTGATGGGGGGACGAAGCGTCTGAGGGATGGAGGCCCCAGGCGCACATCGTTCCCGGGATGATCACGGCACCGGTCTCCTCCAGGATTTCCAACCACTCGGGGAGGTCGTAGACCTTGGGATATATCCCTCTGTGCTCCTGGTTCTCGAAGATCCATCCCTTCCTCCATTTATGAAGGTTCCGTATGCACCTTACCGTGGTCTGGGAGAGGGCGTTTCCCAGGACCTCCTTGGCGTTTACACCGGTCCCCATCCGGCTTCTTCCAGGTGCGGGTGCCCCCTTTAATGTTGTGGTCGCAGAAGGAGGTACACGGGTTTTCGAACATCCACACGTTGGCCACTCCCGGGCCCGGGGGAGTATCTGCCTCTTTGACCAGGGCCTCGGCGACGTCGGGGTTCGAGAGGTCGTGGTCCTCCCTCCTCTCCGACTCCTTGGGGTGCAGGGGGTTCCGGTACAGCTCCACAGGCTCATCCGCTTGGATGCCCAGCTGCTTCGCCGCGCGGGTCACCCCCGCGGTTCCCGCGAACACTTCCTTGAAGCGGGGTCCCCAGCGGAAAGCGGGCGTGTCCCCCAAAGCTCCGGGGTGCTCCGAGACGAGCTCCTCCCACAGCTGGAGGGCGGCCCTGATTGCGGGTGCCCGGGCAGGCTCTGCCGTTGCAGCCCTCCGGCCAGCCCTGAGAGCCGCCTCCCTCGCCGCGGGGCGCTCCCCGCATGCCTGGCACTTGACGTAGGTGCTCCAGGAGACCTCCGTGCCTCGGGCGTCGCGGTTGAGGAACTCCTCCCAGCCATTCATGATCGTGGCCTCCCTCCGCAGAGTCTGATGGAGGGCTTTCAGGCACGCATCCCCTTTCGCTTCTCCCGAGGTCGGGGTTCGGGGGCGGAGGGCGCGGGCGTGCCCCCGGTGGATCAACATCCAGGCCTGAGGTGAGCCCTCCCCGGAGCGGGCTCCTTCCAGAAGGTGCGTGGTCACTTTTCCACCGTAGTCCATCATCACGACGTTTAGGACGACATCCTCCAGGAGGCGGAGGGGGAACACGACCAGGGCGCGGTAGTCCTTGTCGTGGTGCGGGGCGGCCGCGTCGTGGATGAAGATCCGGAGGTCCGCCTCCCCGACCACCAGCTTGGCCTCCGGAGGCCCCAGTGATTCGTCCGCCCGAACTGCTTGGTCCAGCTGCTCCGCTCTGGCCGTGAGCGCGTGCGCCCAGACCTCCGAGAAGCTGGGCGGCCCCCTTCCCTCGCGGGCCCAGAGGGCGGCGCCCGCCGCGCTCAGGGGGACACACTGCTTTCTTTCACAGTCCTCCTGGATGCCCAAGCGCTCCGCGAGGAGAGGGTCCTCTCTGAGGGGGAGGCGGTCGTGGAAATCGAGCACGTCCCACTCCCCTCCATCCATTTGGAGGGTCCCCCGCCCGACCCCGCCCCCCTCGTCAGGGGCTTGGAGGAGCCGGGCGTAGCCCCTGCGGTCTCGGGGGCGGACGTCCCCCCCCCGGGTGCCGCCGGGCTCAGGCGCGAGCCGATCGAGGCAGTCGGCGGCTTCCCTGACCAGCTTCCAGTTGGGTCCGTCCACGATCCTCCGGAGTACGGCAAGCACCCCTTCTGTCGCCGTCGAGGCCAGGTGCTCCTCCAGGAGGTGGTTCTTGACCGCGGTCTCCAGGTGCCGGGAGGGCCCCCCCTTGAGGAACTCTCGCACATCGGGGCGCGCGCTAATGGCCTGAATTCCGGCCTCCCGCGCCTCCTCCTCTGGGTCGTCCGGGTCCCCCACTGGGTTGAGGCGATGCGCCTTCACAGAGGTGCCTGGCAACTTAAATTAAGACTCGAGAATATGTTGCTAAAAATTAAGAGTCGCGCCATGGTGCGATCACTTAGTTTTTCTGACATGTAAGCATTAACAGCGATTTGAAGCTGGCTTCTCCATGCCAGAAACGGAAATCGGGATTTATCGCGCTGGTGCGCCACAGCGGCGCGTCGACGCACAATGTCAACACGAAGCGCTCGAAAACAGCATGGGCAACTGTCACCAATGGTTTGTTTTAAAATGCTTGTGGTCCTTGCGTGCTGATGCATCTGCGTGCCCTGTGATGTTCTCGGTTTCTCGTGGAACGCGGCCCCTGGCGGCAGCGGGGCGCGGCGGGGGAGGGCGAAGCCTTGTTGTTCTCGGTTGCTCGCGGCCCGCGGGCCCCTCGCAGGTAAACGTCATGGAGGCATTGGAACCCCATGGGAATCTTTGGAAGGCCCCAAGCACCCTGAATTCCCTGGGCCGTGGGGGGCCTTTGGCCCCTGGGATCCCCATGGGCGGCCCTAGACACCTTGAGCCCTGGACTCCTGAAAACCCTTGGGGGCTTCAGATCTCGCGCATTTCCACGCACCCCTCGCGCTGATCGCGGTGTCTGGTGGATCAGCGGACCGCAAGGTTTGTTGGTCCTTCGGGCATGTGTCGAATTCAAGCTTGAAGGGTCAAGTTTGGCTCAAACTTGAGAGGCCAAATTTGGCGCGAAGGCGGACAACCAGCTCAAACTTGAAGGGTCAAGTTTGGCTCAAATTTTAGGGGTCAAGTTTGGCGCAAATTGGGTGGCGCCGCAAGGGAGAGAAGGGGGAGAGGAGGAGGAGGCGGAGAAGGAGGAGGAGGGGGAGGAGGAGGAGGAGGAGGAGGAGGACGTTCCACACGGACCATGGACCATTTGGGCTTAGGAGGAGGAGGGAGGAGGAGGGGGAGGTGGGAGGAGGACGACGCTCCAAACAGACCATGGACCACACACCGCCCTGCATTCGAATCTCTAAATTTGCACTTGCAGTAAATGCTGCAGGGTCGGAACATACCCCTGGGGACCCCAGGGGTGGCACCCGCAAGGCACCACTGGAACAGGGCGCCCGCAGGGCACCAAGGCGCGCGCAGTGCACCACAAACACCGCCATGGCACCATCAAGGGAACGCGCCCGCATGGCACCCGTGAAATGTGCAGAGCGCGAAGCGCCAGAAAAAAAAAAAAACACACAACGTGAGTTTCCAGACGTGCCGAACGCGAAGCGTGACGATTATATAACAAGAGCGTTCCTGCAAATTGGCGTTGTCAGCGGTGCGTGTGCGTGTGTGTGTGTGTGTGTGTGTATGTGCTTGTGTTTGTGTTTGTGTTTGAGTGTGTTGTTTGTGCTTGTGTGTGTGTGTTTGTTTTGTGACGTTGGCAAGAACGATTATATAACAAGAACGTTTGTGTGCGTGTGTTTTTGTTTCTGTTTCTTTTCCTGAGCCCGACCAGCTTGCTGTTCACACAGTCCTGCTCTTCTTCGGCGCAGGGGCTGCGTCGCCGTGCGCTCTCCGAAACTCAACCAAGACCCTCCACATCCAATTCCACCTGTGAGCGGCAGCACATACCTTTTTCAAATATCCGTTCAATTGCTCGTCGAACCAGGCGCCGTACGCAGATGGGGACCCAGTCATATACACGGAGCTCACAAGATGGCAGCCTTGGTGGTGTTTGGGTTTGAATTTGATTTCCAACTCTCTGGCGATCCTCAAATGAATTTTGTACTCGTCGCAAAACGTTTGCACTTCCGAAGCTGACCAAATGCCTTTGTTCGCCTTGAGAATGCCAAGCATTCGACACAATGCCTGGCCGCACCGAAGCACACTCGAATACAGAGGGAGGTTCTTGGCACTCGGCAGCGCTAGCACTTCAGAAACAACAAATATTAGCATTGTGTTCGTTTCCGCCCCTTGCATTTTGAACTCACCTGATCCTTCTGATCCAAACATGTTGAATGTTAAGTTTTGGATATCTGCATTGATTCTGCCAGCCTTTTTCTCTACCTTGAGCCATGCAAACAACATGGCACGAATGCGGTCGAGTGAATGCGCATTCTTCCCATCTTTATTTGTGGACGGACTGGCAAACACATTGTGATCGAATAGCCACCAAATGCAAAAATTCAAATAAAAACCGAACACGCCAAGGGACAGACAGTGCAGCCAGTCGACTGCCATGCTGCCTGGATGTATGTATGTCTCCGGACAGAAAATAGGACACCTCCTCCGCACCGACGTTTCTTCGGACCGCCTCCAGAAGAGAGCCCAGAACGGTTTGTCCTTCCCGTCGAAGTCCAAAATGTTAGGCATGTCACGGTGGGGCTCGACGCGATCTCCTTTCTTGAGGCCGAGTTCTGGAAGGTCAACCATGAGACAACGGCCTCTGTTGCCGTGACTTGTCCTGTCGTACTCCAACGATCCACGGAGCCGTGGGAAATTATCTTGTGTAACAAGTATCCAAAACTCGCAGCGGTTGCAAGCATCGTCGTACTTTTCAAGGGTATGCGGCTGCCATGGCATATCGCCAGTGCAGGATAAGCCAGCAAATGTATCCCAATTATCATGAATACACTCGCACACTGGGCAAGGGTGTTTGATTGTTCCGAAGGATGGGAAACCGTACATCTTCGTAGACTCCACCCAATCATGTTTCAACCACAGCACGACAGCCTTCTCCAACTTTGATTTGGAGCACGCTGCCTCCAGTGTCTCAGACTCTCGCCAGTCAGCTCCGTCATGCCTTTTGGCTGGGGCAATTCCAGCAGCTAGCGACATCAAGCTCCAACGCATCGCCAACTGGAGCACGTAAACCGAATGCCATCCCCTGCAACCGCAGGAACAAAGATCAGACTTCCGCATCACAGCGCAAACATGACGCACGCCTGAAATAATGTTATACACCCACAGCGCAATGCAGCTATCTGTTCGTGTGAAGCTGAAGCCGTCAGTGTATACTGCGAGCGGCCATACGCGTTCGCCTTCGGGCGAGGCGCGCACAACGTCGTGGCTGAAATATACTGGAGGGAGGGCCTTCTTAGATATAGCAGCCTCGAGCTTACCCTGGAGCGACGGATCCATTTTCAACTCATTCTGAATGCAGACGTGAGGAGGAGAAAACGGCACATGCAAGGTCACCATGGATTGGTCCGCTCTGCGAGTGGACGGGACATCGAGCATGTAGAATTGTTCGTCTTTGCGTCGGGTTCCGAGCACCGAGTCCAAGTGTTTATTGTATGCACCGCTCTGCTTACCAGGACCAAACGAGAGAGCCTCAACACCTTTCGCACCAGCCTTTGTAGCCCAGTACGCAATCACACATATGGTATTTGCATGCACCGTGGCACCAGTCTGTTTCAAGGACACGAGATACTCGAACAATGTCTCACCACATTCTTGAAGGCTCAAACTATCAATAGCTTCACCGTCATCTCCCAGCCCCCTGGGTGCATCCCACCAGGCAGCCTTGTCCCAACTATGTAAGGTTGCCATTTCTTGTAATGGAGAAACTGGTATCCGAGCCCAAGCAGTTACCGACGGAACAGGGGAGGAGGAAGAGAGGAACGAAGGAGGACTGGATGCGTAAGGTTCTGGGAGACCCCCAATAGGTTCCCCACGCCCCTTGGACATCAGTTTCACTCCCCCCCACCTAAGGATCCTTAGGGGGGGGGGGTGTGAAGGACGTTGTTTGCGAATTCGAATTGGTGTCACCTGCCGCTGATCATGCTGCTCACTCTGATCATCCTCCACGTCTGTCCAACCAATCCTTCCTCCCACTACGCCCCCTCGCCCTCCTCCTCCTATACAGTTTTCTGCTTTACCTGGGAGGGGCAGCCTAACATCGAACGTCATTGAAAATCATTGAACATCATTGAACATCATGGTGACCAACATCATTGAACATCATTGCCATTTTGAGGGGATGTCTCAGGCGAAAACGTCATGGGTCTAATTTCGCCCTGGATTAAAATCATTGAAGATCATTGGACATCATGGGGCGTACACCGGGGTGATTTCCAGAGAACGTAGCGATATTTCGATATATGATTGT